ATGCTATAGAAGTGCAATTTCAGACTCTTGCACCCTACAGGCTAAGTAACTGTTGATGCATATGCATATGCACCATATTATTTTATGCCTGTTTTTTGTGTGCCAAACAAGACCCAGGGTATGCATCTTGATTCATATGAGGTGCAAATAAAATATAGTAGGAATATGTCAAATATTAGGAAATTTAAAGTGTGGGGAAGACTCCTGAGTAGGAGGGACTACAGGCTCATGCCACCATGCCTGGAAAATGTGTTTTTACTTTTTTTCTTCTTGTTGATTGATTTCTGTATTTATTCAGCATGCATTCTAGAAACAAATCCCACTTAGTGATGGTGGTTAATCATTTTAATATACTGCTGAATGTAGTTTGTTTAGCATTTCAATGAAGAATTTACATTTTATGTTCATTAGGGATATTGATCAATAGTTTTCATTTCTTGCATTATCTTTTCAGGATGATGGTGATCTCATAAAATGAGTTTGGAAGTATTCACTCTTGTAATTTTGGAAGAGATTAAGAAGTATTGATATTCATATTTCTGTGAGTGTTTGGTGGAATATACTTGTGAAACCATCTGTTCCTGGTCTTTTATTCTTTGAAAGGTGTTTGATTAATGATTCAATCTCCTTATTTGTTATTGGTCTGTTCAGTCTTTTTATTTTTATTTATTTATTTTTTTTTTTGAGTCAGAGTCCCACTCTGTCCCGGCCACCGCAGCCTCAACCTGCTGTGCTTCGGCGATCCCTCCGCCTCAGCCTTCCAAGTAGCTGGAACTACAGGTGTATGCTACCACGCCTGGCTAATTTTTTATTTTATCGTAGAGATGAAGTCTCGGCAAGTTGCCAGGGCGGGTCTCGAACCCGCGGGCTCAGGCAATCCACTTGCCTCGGCCTCCCAAAGTGCTGGGATTACAGGCTGAGCCACCGAGCCTGACCAGGCTTTTTATTTCTTCTTGATCCAGTTTTGATGGGTTGCATGTTTGTAGGAATTTATCCATTTCTTATAGATTAATCAGTTTTCTGGCATATAGTTTTTCACAGTAATTCCTTTGATCTTCTCTATTTCCAAGGTCTCTGTTCTAATGTCTCCTCTTTTTTTCTGGTTTTATTTGTCTTCTCTTTTATTCTTAGTCTAGGTAAGGATTCACCTACTTTGCTTATTTTACTGATAAGGAAACCCTTTGTTTTGAATACTTCGTATGTTGTTTTTTCTATTCCCTATTTTATTTCTGCTGTCTTGGTCTGTAGTGTTATTTGTTATGCTGTTTTCATATTGATTTTCTCTCTGGCTGATCTATCCATTATAGCAGCAGTCCCCAACCATTTGTGCACTGGGGACCAGTTTAGTAGAAGACAGATTTTCCATGGACCAGGGAGCAGGGATGGGTTCGGGATGATTCAAGCACATAACATTTACTATGCACTTTATTTCTATTATTATTACATTGTAAGATATAATGAAATAATTATACAACTCGCCATTAAAATAAAGAGGCATGGTAAATAAAATAATGGGTGGGCCACACACAGACTAAAATAAATAAGTGTCAGATTCTGACTTAAAGCCTGCCACCAGATGCAGATGTACAATTGAAGTACATCAACTCAATGGCTAGTCACTGATAAAGTTTTGGTATGAGCATGCAAGCAATTGATTTATTATGGTCTCTGTGCAGTCAGATTTCACTGCTAATGTTAATCTATATTTGCAGCCACTCTCCAGTGCTAGCATCACTGCCTGAGCTCCACCTCAGATCATCAGGTATGAGATTCTCATAAGGAGCATGCAACCTAGATTCCTCGCATGTGCAGTTCACAATAAAGTTCATGCCCCTATGAGAATCTAATGCCACATTGACATGACAGAAGATGGAGCTCAGGCTGTAATGCCAGCAATGAGGAGCAGCTGTAAATACAGATGAAGCTTCGCTCGTTCACCTGCCACTCTCCTGCCACTCACCTCCTGGTGTGCTGCCCACTTCCTAATGGCAGAGACTGGTACTGATCAGTGACCCAGGGGCTTGGAACCCCTAAATTATATAGAGGAGGCACTGGAATCACTTACTGTTATATTTATTTCTTTTGGTGCCCTGATGGTGCATATAGTATATATTTATAATTGTTACATCTTCCTGTTGAATTGATCTTTGAATCATTTTATCATAACCTTCATTGTGTCTTGTGATAGTTTTACCTTAAAGTTGATTTTGTCTGCTGTACCTGTAGCCACCCCTGATCTCTGTTAGTTATCATTTACATAGAATATCTTTTACTAGCCCTTCACTTTCAGTCTTGCATATAAAGTGAGTTTCATTTATACAGCATATATTTTGCTTGTATTTTGGTTGTTCTTTTTTTTTTTTTTTTTTTTTTTGAGTTGGAGTCTCACTCTGTCACCCAGGCTGGAGTGCAGTGGCACACCTACAGCCACCCCAGCATCGACCTGCTGGGCTCCTATGATCCTTCCACTTTAGCCTTCTAAGTTGCTGGAACTACAGGCATGTGCTACCATGCCTGGCTATTTTTTTTTTTTTTTGTAAAGAAGAGGTCCTGACAAGTTGCTTGTGCTGGTCTCAAACCCCCGGGCTCAGGCAAACCATTCACCTCAGCCTTCCAAAGTGCTGGAATTACAGGTTGAGTCACCGAGCCCAGCCTGGCTGTTCATTTTTATCCATTCAGTCACTCCATGGTCTTTGATGAGGGAGTACAATTCATTCACATGTGATTATTGATAGAATTTACTATTGCCATTTTGTTCATTGTTTCCTTTCTGTGATATGGACATGTATGTAAACACAACTGTATTTATAAGAATGTGCAGCATCCAGCACAAGTTAATGAAAATTCAGTGAAGTTGGAACTTTTACTTTAAAATCTATCCACATGGAGTTTCTGGGACAGATTGTGAAGGTCTGGAAGATATTCAGGAGTAAGGTGGTACCAAAGAACACACCCACACCTGGCCGACAATATCTTTAAAATGCTAATTTTTCTACCTAAACATGATCGAATTTCTTTTTTTTTTTTTTTTGAGTTGGAGTCTCACTCTGTCGCCCAGACTGGAGTGCAGTGGCCGCTCCCGGCACCACAGCCTCAACCTGCTGGGCTCCAGCGATCCTTCCACCTCAGCCTTCTGAGCAGCCAGAATTACAGGCACGCGCTACCACACCCGGCTGATTTTTGATTTATTGTGAGATGAGGTCTAGCCAAGTTGCCCATGCAGGTATCGAACCCACGGGCTCAGGCCATGATCGAATTTCAATTGGTTACCACTTCGGGATAGACGAAATCCTCCACATGTAATAGAAAAATATACTTCATAGTGGATGTTAATGCACACATATTGCCATAAAATTATTTTCAGTAGAAATAAGGTCATTTAAATCTAGTTTTACTTTTTGGTTTTCATATGAAAGAGAATAAACCTATCTCATACCCTTAGAAATGGTGCAAAATATTTGTTCTTTAGGTAAAAATAAATCCAAATGTCTTCTGAAGATTATTTTACAAGCTTTGTTATCCACATCTGACACAACATTCAGAAATAGAAAACAAAAAATGTAAAATAGATGAAAACTATGTTGTCTAATGACCTCACAACACACATAAAGTGAATGTGAAATTACATTATACTTAGAAAGTATTCATTTAACCATAATGTAATGTAAAGAAAGTTAACCTCAAATAACTTTCTTACCTCAAAGGTATTTGCGGTTAACTTACATTAAATGGGAAGTAGAATAACAAGTACAGGGAAGAACAACATATAAATTTTTAAAGTTTTCTTTTCTTTTCTTTTTTAAAGCAACAGTTGGTGATGTAACTTATCACTGGCCTTAGCCTTCCACGGTCCACATCCCAGGCATTGTTCCTATGAAAGTCTCTGGAACTGAGCATTCCCACTGGGTTCATGAGTAGAGAATAGAAATGAAAAGGCGCGGTTCTGTTGGGAGGGAGCATAAAATTGAACGTTCCATTCAGGCAGAGTTTTGTATTTTACACTCCAGTTGGCGTTGGCTTCACAGGTTATTTCAGGGTCTTTTAATTAAATTGCTAAAATTCATGTTTTTTTTTTTAGTTGGAGTCTCACTCTGTCGCCCAGGCTGGAGTGCAGTGGCACGCTCACGGCCACTGCAGCCTCGATCCGTTGGGCTCAGGTGATCCTTCCAACTCAGTCTTCCAAGTACCTGGAACTACAGGTGTACGCCACCATGCCCGGCTGATTTTTTGTTTTATTGTAGAGACAAGGTCTCGCCAAGTTGCCCAGGCTGGTCTCGAACCCCTGGACTCAGGCAATCCTCTCGCCTCTGCCTCCCAAAATGCTGGGATTACAGGCGTAAAACTAATTTTAATTGCAGGAATTTCTGGATGCAATTACTGCCGCACATCTGTGCCCCCAATAAGATCCCAGTTCCCAGGCCGCTGACGGTTTTCAACTTGGTAAGAAGAAAATATTTTGGTTTCCAAGGTAAGTGGCCCACAGAACTCTATGTTTTTATCTGAAAACTGTTTGAAACATTAGTGAATAGTCCAGTGTTCCCAAATGGAAAAACAGACCAGCGGGGAACAAGGTGGAGGGAAGCGCGGGCCCCGGGCCCCGCCCCCGCCCCCGCCA